CAGCACGGCACCCCCTGCCACATCCCCTGGTGAGCGCCCTGTCCTGGGCCTTGGTGGGTCGGTGCCCCCTGGGGCGGTCTTGGTGGGACAAGGCTCGTGGGGTGGTGTTGGTGCGTTGAGGTCCCATGGGTTGGCATTGGCAGGCAGGACCCCCTTGGCATCAGCCCAACTGGTGTTGGTGGGTTAAGGGCCCGTGGGTTGGTTTTGTTCCTTTGGTGCTGGCTGGGTCAAAGCCGCGTTGGTTGGCCTTGGTGGGTCAAGGTCTTGTGTGTTGGCGTGGGCCACATTGATGTCAGCAGGCCAAGGACCCGTGGGCTGGTGCAGACCCCCTTGGCAGAGACCCTCTTGACAGCAGCGCTATTGCTGTGGGCAGAGCCTGCTGGAGGTAGTGGGTCAAGGACCAGAGGATGGCGCCGGAAGGTCCTACATTGTCAGGCACAACCGCACGGCCCTTGGGAACATGTCATGTCACCTGGGACCAGCCTGCTGCATGGGACGGCAGCTAGGCAAGGCGGGGGTCTGGGAGGCAAGGGGCTGCGGTGGTTCTACGAGCAGGAGGTTGGCGTCATGGCAGGAGCTGGCTGCTGCAGCTGGCTATCCCCTCACTGCACTGGGTGTGGTAGGGTTTTGGAGATGCATGTTGCAAGGAGGGGTGAAGCCCTTCGTTGGCTTGCCAAAGAGGTGGGACTGCAGTGGATCAGATCCTTCTAAATGTTTGTTGGGGGAAGAAGCCTGTCCTGGGTGTTACAGGCTGAAGCGGTTCCCCACGTTTGGGATGAGGGGTTTGGGACCCTGCCTCTCCTCCCTGCTCATCGGGTCTCTTCTGCGCCGCGACAGGTACATCATGACAAGTGGCCGGACTATGGAGTCCACCAAGGAGTTCTTCCTGAAGCATCACTATTTTGGCTTGAAGAAGGAAAACGTCATCTTCTTCCAGCAGGGCATGCTGCCCGCCCTGGGGTTTGATGGGAAAATCCTGTTGGAGGAGAAGGGCAAGATTGCCATGGCGCCAGGTCGGTGGCCAGGAGCTGGCAGATGGGGTGCATGGGGGTGGGACACAGTGCCAAGGATGAGTTTTTGGAGCTGGAGCCTGCGTAGAGCAGTCTGGCAGTGTGACGTGGCCCATGGGTGACACAGGCTGGGGGAGGTCCATCTTGGCGGGGAGGACCAGGGTGGGGTATGGCCGGGCCAGTGACCTCTACCCTGGCTCCCTGGGGAAGGAGGATGAGTGTAGGTGGCTGATGGGACAGCAGGATGTTGCTGTGGCCCCAACAGTTTGTTCCCTCCATAGATGGCAACGGGGGCCTGTACCGGGCCCTGGGGGCGCATGGCATCATGGATGACATGGAGCGGAGGGGCGTGCAGAGTGTCCACGTCTACTGTGTGGACAACATCTTGGTGAAGGTGGCTGACCCCAGGTTCATCGGGTTCTGCTTGGAGAAGGGAGCGGACTGCGGGGCCAAGGTATGGTTTTGGGGGCAGGCAGGCACCGCTTCCCTGGAGCAGGGTGGGGTCTGTCCTGCTCCTTGCCTGGGTTCCCTGACTCCTTATCCTTCCTTCGCCAACTTGCCCCAGCCAGGAGGTATAGCTCAACACTGGGAGCTCGCTGGTAGAGTATCATATGCTGCCAGAGTCCTTTCTGCCCCTTTTGGGTCTGGCATCCCAGGAGATGCGGGGCGTCTCTGACCCCTGCCTGGCGCTGCTCCGGTCCTGCCTTGCGTGGGGTCCTGGCACTGACAGCCCCTGGGCTCACAGGTCCCCTAGTCCCTGGGGTTGAGAGCTTCCAGGGAGCCCCGTGGGGCTCCCTGGTCCCCACCCAGATGCTGGGCAGCTGTTCAGGCGGCTGCGGGGAGCACAGGCAGCCGGGATCCCTGCCACGGGCTGCCAGCTGTCCCCGGCTGTGACGTCCTGGGCACTAGACCAGGACACGGTGGGTGCAGCCGACTGCTGATGCTGAGCCCAGCCCCGTGTCTCATGGGTATGATGTTGCATGCCTGAAGCTTTACTTAAAGGCCGGATTAACAGCCAAAGGGCTGTGCGATTGTGTTTGCGTTGGGCTCGGCTCTGGCAAACAGGTGAGAGGACTTGCTGGCCTTGAAGGGAAACCTTGAGCTGGGAAAGGGAAAGCAGTTCCTCCTTCTGGCCACGAGTGAGAGAAAGAGGAAATAAACCTTGCACGCTGCAAGGACAAAGCCCTGTGTCCCTGCATGCTGCCTGGCTGTGGTGATAGGGATGGGTAGGGATTTGCTGGGGGGCGTCCCGTGCCCAGAGGGAGATGTGTGGCATTTGAGGAAGAGGAGGGAGGTCAGGTGTGGGGGAAGATGGCTCTGCTGAGTCAGCAGCCTCCTGCATGTCCGTGGCAAGCTGGCTGTTTGTGTGCAGGCTGGGTGCTAAAAATATCCATGCCCTCTGCCAGTCGCACGCGGGCTCGGTGCCAGATCCTGCCCGCACCCTCTGGGTGTCCCTGACACCCTGTCACCCAGCCCTGCCATCTCTGCCTCCTCCAGTCACCGTTGCCAGAAGCATTTGGGAGGGGAAGGCTCCAGCATCCCAATCCCTGCGCTATCGCCGCTGTCCTGTGCAGGGAAACAACTCCACAGGGTCTGCTAGATACAAGAGAGTGTATTTGAAGTGCAGGGCTTTGGGGGTCTTTCCCTGACGGTGCTTCCCTTGGGCAGGTGGTGGAGAAGACCAACCCCACGGAGCCAGTCGGCGTGGTGTGCCGAGTGGATGGTGTCTACCAGGTGGTGGAGTACAGCGAGATCTCCCTGGCCACTGCCCAAAAACGGGGCCCGGATGGGCGACTGCTCTTCAACGCGGGCAACATTGCCAATCACTACTTCACCACTGCCTTCTTGAAAGATGTCGTCAAGTAAGGGCCTGCTGGGGTGTTGCAAGCGTGCCGGAGGAGTAGTGCTGGGGCCAAGTGGAGCCTGCATCTTGCTTTCTGCTGGTTGAGCTCCAGCTGTTTGCAGGAGTGCTGGGAGGAGGCCTGTGGGGTCTGGTTTCCCCCTAAGCTAAGGTTTCCCCCGGCCATCGCTGGCTGCTGGTGTCAGAGCTCAGGCGTGTGGGGCCGTCCTCTCCTGGCTGCTGTGGGGCTGGGGGGTTGGGGATGTGCCTTGCTTGGGCGAGTGACAGCTCATTCTTGGCCCGTTGCAGCACTTACGAACCGCGGCTGCAGCACCATGTAGCCGAGAAGAAGATCCCACATGTGGACATTGCTACGGGGCAGCTGATCCAGCCTGAGAAGCCTAACGGGATCAAGATGGAAAAGTTTGTCTTTGACATCTTCCAGTTTTCCAAGTATGCCCTTTTCTCTCTGCGGGGAGCAGGCTGCTGGCTCTCCCCCGAGCAGCTCTCAGAGCCACTGCGGGGGGTGGGTGGAGAGGGTACCGGGGCTGTGCCCACTGGCGATGCCCCGGGGCCGGGACAGGATGACCGCTCCTGTGCTGTTCATCAGCGGTGGATGATTGTGCCCTGAGATGAGCAGGGACATGAGCAGCAGGAGGGACAGGCGCTGTGTGCCTCTTGCTCAGCTGGGCCCTGCTCCTGGGCCAGAGGAGCATCCACTGACCCTACAGCCCAGGTCCTCTCCTCCCTCTGTGGCTGTGAGGACAGCCCGTGGGTGTGGGCTGTGGAGGAGCCGTGGCTGCCGCTCAGCCGCTCTGTGCAGGGGAGAAGCCAAAGCGACAGGAGGCAGCCATATTTCCCAAACCTGACCCTCCCACGCCCTTGTTCCCCCTCCCAGGAAGTTTGTGGTGTACGAGGTGCTGCGCGAGGATGAATTTTCTCCCTTGAAGAACGCAGACAGCCAGAACGGCAAGGACAACCCTACCACAGCCAGACACGCCTTGATGTCCCTGCACCATTGCTGGGTTCTCAATGCGGGGGGGCACTTTGTGGATGAAAATGGCACGCGCATCCCTGCCATTCCTCGGTAAGTTGCTGCTCCCAGCGCTCCTGCATCCTTCTTGGGCTGGGTATAAAGCACCGGGCAGTCCCCAGCCCTTCTCCATTTCAGTGCTTCTGAAGCCAGCGTTGCTGGAGTGCACGGCTGTGGATCCCTTCTCCCGGGTGGTCTGTGGGGCAGAGCCGGGTGTGCGCCAGGCGGTGGCTGCAGAAGGGGCGCTCGTGTGGTCTGCAGCAGCTTTCCTTCTTGATTCAGCGCCTGTAAACTGAATCCTGCCATTGCACAGCCAAGGTTGCCAGTGCAGGGAGGAGGTGGCTCCCTAAAGCCCGAGCATGCCAGCAGATCCGTGCAGTAGCCATGCTGGGGTCGCGACATCCCTTGACCGAGAGACCTCCCTCCACCCATGTTTGGAGAACAGCAAACCCCAGACTTGTTCTGCCCTGTTTTTTTTCCCCCACCCTTGCTAACCCTTGTTTATTCCCACGTAGTGTCACAAACGGAAGGTCAGATGCCACCCCAGCAGATGTCAATGACAAGTAACTATACCGTGCAGCGTGCATGGTGGCGGGGCTGCGCTTAGGTACTAATGGGCTGCAGGCGAAGCAGTGCGCCAGGCTGCGGTCTGCTGCGATGGGTGCGCGCTGGTGAGAGGGCACCCGCAGTGACTAACGGGGCGGTGGG